CAGCGCTTGCAGGTTCACTACCTGATCTCTAAAGGGGGTGGTAGGAACCTTGGGCACATAACCGGGGCGGGGTCTCAGGATGACGTGAGAGTAATCCGGCCCGAATTCCAGGCACGAGTCACTGACCGAAAATGCCTCCAGGTCCCCGACCCTCTTGATGGAGGCCAACGCAACCAGCAGAGCTGTCTTCAGGGACAGAAATCTTAGAGATACTGATTCGAGTGGCTCAAAGGGATCAGATCGCAGACTCGTGAGAACGAGGGCGAGATCCCAAGAGGGCATGAGAGGGGGGCGAGATGGATTAATTCGCCTAGCACCCCTAAGGAACTGGATGACCAGGTTATGCTTTCCCACGGTGCCGCCAGCTACCGCGCTATGATAAGCGGAGATGGCGGCCACGTAAACCTTGAGAGTGGAGGGCGACAGCCTGCTGTCCAACTTCTCTTGAAGGAAAGAGAGCACAACACTAATCTGGCAATTTCGGGGGTCTTCTCTGCGAGAGACGCACCATTCAGTGAATAGACTCCACTTCAGGGCGTAGGCGCGCCTCGTGGAGGGGGCTCTAGCCTGAGTGATGGTATTAACCACCGCAGTCGGTAGGTTACCTAAGTCTTCCTCGCGTCTAGGGACCACACGTGGAGGTTCCAAAGATCGGGGCGAGGGTGCCAGATGGTGCCCTGTCCCTGAGAGAGTAGGTCCTCTCTCAAAGGGATCCGCCAGGGGAGGGCCATCGCGAGGAGTGAGAGCTCTGATATCCAGGTCCGGTTGGGCCAAAGGGGCGCAACTAGCAGAACCTGTTCCTCGTCCTCCCTGACCTTGCACAGAAACTGCGCGAGCAGGCTCACTGGGGGAAACGCATACTTGCGCATGCCCCGAGGCCAGCTGTGGGCCAGTGCATCCGTGCCGAGAGAGCCCTCGGTCAGGGAAAAAAACAACTGGCAGTGAGCGTTCTCGGGGGAAGCAAACAGATCGATCTGGGCCTCCCCGCATCGCGCCCATATCAGCTGAACAGACTCGGGGTGGAGTCTCCATTCTCCAGGATGTAACAGCTGTCGTGAGAGCGCATCGGCTGCACGATTGAGCGTGCCTGGGACGTGAATGGCGCGCAGCGATTTCAGCCGCGGGTGACTCCAGAGGAGCAGACGGCGGGCGAGCTGAGACATGCGGCGAGAGCGCATACCCCCCATGCGGTTGATATACGCCGCCGCCGCCATACTGTCCGTCCTGACCAGCACGTGTTGCCGCTCCAGCACCGGTAAAAAGCGGTGGAGAGCGAGGAACACTGCCAACAGCTCTAGGCGATTGATATGCCAATGCAGCTGGGCACCCTTCCAGAGGCCCGCAGCCGCATGCCCGCGACACACGGCCCCCCCAACCCGTGTTGGAAGCGTCTGTTGAAACAACAACATGGCTGGACGCCTGTCCTAGAGGCACACCGGCCTGTAGGAACGAGGGGTCGTTCCAAGGGCTGAGGGCGCGGCGACACAGCGCAGTAACCGAGACCCGGTGTGTGCCCGCGTGCCATGCGCGTCTGGGGACCCGATCGTGAAGCCAGTGCTGAAGTGGTCTCATATGGAGCAACCCGAGCAGCGTGACGGCGGCTGCGGATGCCATATGCCCCAGGAGCCTCTGAAAGAACTTCAGTGGGACCACTAGTTTGCTGTCGAGCTCCCTCAGACAGTTCAGCAACAGGCGAGCGCGTTCCTCGGAGAGGTGCGCTACCATGGTGATTGAGTCCAGCTCCATCCCGAGAAAAGAAATCCTCTGCACGGGGGCGAGTTTGCTCTTTTCTCGGTTGACCTGAAGCCCCAGTAGGCGGAGATGCCGAAGCACCTTGTCCCTGTGCATAATCAATTGCTCCCGCGAGTGGGCTAAAATCAGCCAGTCGTCGAGATAATTGAGTATGCGAATGCCCGCGAGCCGAAGGGGCGCTAGGGCACCCTCCGCGAGTTTGGTGAAGACCCGCGGAGACAGAGAGAGCCCGAAGGGGAGGACCTTGTACTGCCACGCTCGACCCTCGAACGCAAACCGCAGAAATTGGCGGTGGCGTGGAAGAATGGAGACATGGAAATACGCGTCCTTCAGGTCTATGGCTGCAAACCAATCCCGAGGACGAACGCATTGGAGAATGCGCCTCTGCGTGAGCATTCTGAACGGCAGCCTGTGCAGACAGCGGTTCAAAACGCGCAGATCTAGGATTGGCCGTGACCCACCGCTCTTTTTGGGTACGATGAAGTATGGGCTGTAAAACCCACTCTCCATCTCGGCTGGAGGAACCGGCTCGATTGCACCCTTCGCCAGGAGGGCAGCAATCTCCTCTCGCAAGACAGGGGCGGACAGGGGGTTGACCCTGGAGGAATACACGCCCGTAAACTTGGGGGGCCGTTTCGCGAACTGAATCGCGTAACCGAGTCTGATTGTGCGTATGAGCCACCGCGAGGGGCTGGCCCGCGCTAACCAGGCAGGCAGAGCCCTCGCTAATGGAGTCATCGCTACAATCGCTGACGTACCAGCGGTGGGGCAGCGCGGAGTGGGTGTGCTGATCCGGGAAACACGAGGGTCCTGTGGAAGAGCTGGAGGAGAGCGATTCGCTCTGGCTCCGCACCCTGACTCCGGAGAGGGGGCTGGAGGGCTGAGGGAAGGGAGACCGTCCCCCCAGCGCTCGTGAGCCACTGGCGAAGCACGTAGAGTCTGCGAGCCGGAAGGCAGCGCGTCCCGGACTGGCAGAACTCGTGCAGTCACATCCGGGGAAGGGAAAAAAGTGCTCTTTTACTGATGTTTTGGTGGCACTGAAAAGTACCGTTGTTATCGGGGCCCCGCCCTCCAGCGGGGAAAGAGCAAGTTTCCTCTTCTCCGGATGGCCTGTCTCAGGGACGCTTCGCGGTCCGTTTACCGGACTTAACGGCGCCCTGGGCAGGAGGGGCTGCCTGCTTTCGAGGTGAACGCTCGTTGGCGGGCGCCCTCGGCGAGGAACAGCGGAGGTGGATGGCTCGGCGGGCGGAGCGGGCTTACGGCCACGCCGATAGATGACATTGCCCATCGCATCCGACTGCTCTTTCACCGCCTTGAATTCCTGGGTGAATTCACCGACGGTGTCGCCGAACAGGCCAGCCTGGGATATGGGCGAGTCAAGAAAGCGAACTTTGTCAACGTCGCGCATATCGGCCAGGTTTAGCCAGAGGTGGCGTTCCTGAACCACAAGTGTGGACATCGTCCTCCCCAGCGCACACGCGGCGGACTTAGTAGTCCGAAGAGCATAGTCGGTCGCGGTGCGCAGCTCATGTAATAAGCTTGGGTTGGACCCGCCCTCGTGCAGCTCGGCCAGCGCCTGCGCTTGGTAGCGCTGGTAGGTGGCCATCGCGTGCAAAGCAGAAGCAGCCTGGCCCGCAGCCTTTTAAGCTCTGGCTCCGAGGGAGGCAGACAACCTACAGGCTTTGGACGGGAGGCGGGGCAAACCCCGCCACGTAGAGGCGCCGCGCGGACAAAGATTGACCGCGATAGCGCGCTCCACTGACGGGATCGCCTCATACCCCCTGGCAGCTCCGCCGTCAAGGGCGGTGAGGGCGGAGGCACTCGCAGCACAGGCAGAGAAAGGTGCCCTCCAAGACTGCGTGAGCCTACTGTGCACTTCCGGGAAGAAGGGGACGAGAGGCTTCGAAGGCTTCGCTTTCTGGTCCTCTACGTAGCACCCATCTAGTCGGTCCGGCCGCGGAGCTGGGGGATAAACCATCTCCAACCCCACGGCCGAAGCAGCCCGGGAAAGCACGGCTAACATGTCCGCTTCAGGATCCGATTTGACAGCGCTCACCTGCCCGGAGGGGGCGAGCGGGTCCGGATCTTCGTCGGACAGTGAAAGCCCACCCTCCGATGCCGCGGAGGACATCTGATCTCCGGTGTCAGCGAGTGTGAGAGCTACCATCTGGTTAGACGGATCACTCTCACCACCCGAAGCTTGGATGGAGCGCCGTGAGGAGCGAGAGGTCCGCGAGCCCGGACCCTCAGATCTGCCCGAGCGCCCGCTGCTTTTTTAGAACAGGAGGCAACTGGGGTGGCTCGCTCTCTTGCGAAAGTTAGCCGCGATCTTAGCTGTGCAACGGTCATGGCATCGCAATGACGACATGAACCGCCCGCGAGCACCGCATTAACATGCTGGACCCCCAAACATGCAATGCAGTGATCGTGTCCATCATCCGGAGCCAGGAAACCCCCGCATCCAGAAACGCACAGTCGGAGCGCCATCCTGAAAAGGACGTGCTGCACGACTGTGTTGCTCTTTTAGGAAAGTTGCAACTATACGCACCGCTCTGGAGGACCGGACCCAAAGAACCGCAGGCAAGGGAGTAACCCAGCTCGACCGTCTGCCACCGCGAAGACCCACTCTGGACCGGGAGACACACTCGTTCGCTCTGAAGTGCTGATCAGCAAGAGGAACCCTCATCGACTCACTCAGAAAGGATCTGAAGCGAAAAGGATGGCGTCTGCTGGCTTCAGGTGTGCTTATATGCTGAGATAATTGCAGATGTCGCACACCTGCGCAAGCTTACGCTGCCAATTAATTTCATTCATTGGCCCGTTCAATACTCTCCAGACAAGCGGCTTCTGATCCGAATCCTCCCAATGCGTGGATTTTACAAATCAAATCCACTTATAGTGCTGAAGTTCCCCCCGAAGGGGAACTAAATTTACAGGCAGTTTAACTGGTTAGCAGGCCACATCACAGCTCTGTGGTATCACTAACGTTACAACAGCTGTGTTCTTCTAGACTACTATTGACACAGCTCTGCAGAAAATGCTGGTTTTGGTTTCTTCAGCAGCGTTTGTCTATGTGGAACGCGCGGCGCGCACTCGCGCACTGGAATGTGAGCTGATGAGGGGCGGCGCGGGCTCGCGCTGCGCTCATCACTCAAGTATGTGGATGTTTCACAGACTCCAGTCGAAGAGGTTTATTTCTCAGTGCAGCGCACAGAAGATGCCTTCACAGAGAGCACGATCAGTAGAGCTTCAGCTTTACTCTTAAACCATTTTCATCTCAAGCAAGGAGCACTGAGCACAACTTAAAGCGCTCTGAACATAACTACTGGACTATTTCTCTCATTCTTATGGACAGACTGGAGACTCGAGGTCAGCCGGTTGATGTTCAGCGACTGTGAATGAAGATGAGTTTCAGTTAGTTCATGATGGATCACCATCACGATCTCAAATGTAAAATAGTTGTGGTCGGAGACACTCAGTGTGGGAAGACGTCTTTGTTAAATGTCTTTGCCAAAGATTCCTTTCCAGAGGTTTGTGGAAGAAAATGTCACAATTATGAACGTTAATTCAGCTTTTATTGTTGTTGTTGTTGTTGTGTGTGTGTTTCGTAAACAGTGTTTAGTTAAACTTGATCTTTCTGTCACAGAACTATGTTCCTACAGTGTTTGAGAACTACACGGCCAGTTTTGAGGTGGACACATTGAGAGTGGAGCTTAGTCTTTGGGATACTTCAGGTAAGAAGAAGAATTATTCTCTGCGGACATTAAATTAGATAAAAACAATCTGGTACATGGAGCTCCACTCACATACATATGTGTTTTATTAGTTACTGAAAAATCTGTAATGCAATTTTAGAGATTATAGCCTTATTGTAATGGTCATATCCACTTGAACCTCCTCCCTATTCTAGTGGACTGTAGGGAGTGGGTGAGGACCACTGATATCATTCATCACTTATGAGGAAATTCAGAAATGAATGCAGTGATTATGTGGCTGACAAAAAGTGAAGAAGCACGAATCTGAAAGTTATAGTTGTGAATTTTTTTAATAGGTTCTTTATTGGCATCAAAAAAATAAATAAAATAAAATAAAAAATCTTTGACCGTCTAAAAACCTTTCTTTTCCCCAAAAAGTTCTTAACAGTTTAAAAATGTCTCTTACTTTTCATGTTCTTTAAATTCTGGTTGTTTGGGGAACTTTTTACTGCAAGATTCTTTAGGTAATCAATTATATATTTATTTATATATATATATATATATATATATATATATATATATATATATATATATATATATATATATATATATATATAAAGAGTTGATTACTTTTATTTTTATTGTGGTTTGTTTTCTATGTTCTAGTTGTGCCTAGTTGTGTTAATTAGTTTGAACACGTTTCCATTCTGATTACCCCTCTATTATTTAAGTCCCATGGTCCCCTCAGTTCATTGATCATCATTTTTTGTTTTTGTTTCATGGCAGTCATGAATGTTCTCCAGCAGATACATTATTAAACCTACCTTGTGTTTTTTACTTCTTAATGTTTAAAATAAATAAAATACTGAGATTTCAGTCAAGTTTTTTTGAATCTGAAGTACATTTTTCAGTTCAGTTTTATGCTTTAATAAGCTTTTCATGTCAGAATAACTCAAAGTATTAAATTGTAAATCCTTGTTTGATTCTAACTTATTCTAAGCTTTATTTGTAAAGAGTGTACAGTAAACTGGAGCAGTGTACTTTATACATTCTCACAGATTTGCCTATGATGTTCTCGCAGCAGATTCATGGTTGTCTCCCACACTTCTAGAATGACTCAGATGATTGTTGTTAATGTTAGGTAATACTAGTCTCAAAATAAACCACAGATACAGTATGTGGTAGTATGTGATTGTGGCACGATTTTTCATAGCAAATATTTTTTCTGCTTCCTCATCTTTCTTTTTGTGAGCAACCCATGCAGCTGCTCTCCATCTTCATCTCGGAATGGACAGACATTTTAAAATGAAAGCTTTAAATATTTTAGTAATGATGGCTAATGATCTAAGGTTTGAACTCATTTCAAGCCCTACAAACTTTCTAGAGCAGATTCAACACTCACCTCCCAGAATAGCACTGTAACCTAATTTAGTGGGCTTGAATCATGGGTACATGTGCTGTCTTTCTATGTAAAGAGGGACAGTGACTTGCACAAAAAGACCTCATAGAAAACAGAAACAGTGTCAGTCAAACAGGTTCAGAATGGCCTGAAGATCTTACTAACAGTGATACTCTAAGTAAATAAATGGATACACTTTTATTCTTTACATTATTTAAAGTGGATTAACTTGCCTTTTACTGTTAAACGACACTTGTTCTTCCTGAGGTTTTCTGTAAAAGTGTGATACTTCACAAGGTAAAACTGCTTGCGCTTGCCAATTAGGGATGCAACGATTAGAGATTTTAATTATAGTCTGAGGAACAATCACGGTTATCACAATTATTATGCATTTATTCATTTCAAAATACCACTAGTTTAGAAAATCACATGAAAACTACTTATATTTTAAAGAGTTGTGTATCGCTGCTCAGTAACAAATTAAAACAACACAAAATAACAATAAAAAACAAATAATATAATCCATTTATCTTTGGACTTAAAAATAAGTGAAAAATGCTTTTGGCATTTAAACATTAGTAATAATTTTACACTGAAAATAATGACAGAACAAAAACAAATAAATAAATAGTTCATATTAGTTAAGTATTTCCCTTTTAAATAGAACAAATATAGTCAAAGACTGCTGAACCTCTGTCTGAAAGGCACTGATATGCACGCAAACCACATGCCTTTATTGGAAATAACGAACTTCATTCGTTTTCTTGTCGGCTTAGTCCCTTTATTAATACGGGGTCGCCACAGCGGAATGAACTGCCAACTTATCCAGCAAGTTTTTACGCAGCGAATGCCCTTCCAGCCGCAACCCATCTTTGGGAAACATCCACACACACATTCACACACACACTCATACACTACGGACAATTTAGCTTACCCAATTCACCTGTACCGCATGTCTTCGGACTGTGGGGGAAACCGCAGCACCCGGAGGAAACCCACGCGAAGGCAGGGAGAACATGCAAACTCCACACTTAGTTAAAAACCTCCTCAGCTACAAGCTCAGAAATTTAAACTAGTGCACAGTTAGCGTAACATTGAGTTGCAGCAGTTTTGTTCCATGCAGAAACACGGCGTTGAGAAGCCTTTACGATTAATTAACGTGACAAATTAAACCTCGGTTAATAGTGAAATCGGTTAATCGTTGCTCTATAGCCAATATGCTTATATGTTGATATTTTAGCCTTCTCTAGAACAAAAGCTAAAGTGCTCATTGGGAAAAACCTCAGAGTGTCACTGGGGGGTTATTACAAGACCTTAAATTCTTTCTGACTTTATATTGTAATAAATGTCAATGAAGTTTCCATATATGGTTCTTCGTCCAATAAAGGGCTAAAACAATATGGGATGGGAACCATAATATTGCAAGCAGCATATTAAGTGGTTTTGTACAGCTAGAAATATCTGAAAGTGGATGCCATCGGAAGCCAGACACATTAAATTTACAAATGGCCACGTCTGCTCATCCGTTTTAAATATTCAGTCCAGTAATAATTTATTTGTTAATAAAAGGTTTTCTCTATTTCTTTTTCGCAGGCTCTCCATATTATGACAATGTGCGGCCTCTTTCTTACCCGGATGCTGATGCTGTTCTCATCTGTTTTGATATTGGTCGACCAGAGACTCTGGAGAATGTGCTAAGGAAGGTAAGCTGATCTTCAAGATGTTCGATTTGTTTATCGATGCTGTTTATAATGTCATAGCTCTCCTGAATTGTGTTTGGTCTAATCTCACAAGCCCCGTCTTTGTGACACTGAGAACAAAAGTGCAGACATCTGAGAGAAGAGTCCAGTGAATGAGAGAGCCAATGTGTAGGACGACTTTGATCCTTTGATTATCTCAAGAGGGAGAGAATGACAACCAATAAGAGCTTGTTTTGGTTGGGCCTCAGAATCACAGAGCCTTTGTGCCACAGGATGCCTTCTAACCTCTGATGTCATTAGGGGATGAGAAGCTCTGAGAGAGCAGTAGCCATCCCTTTTTGGGCATTTTTCTATTGGTGCGCCCACTGACTGCATCTCTGTGAGAGAGGCGATCTGTGCCAATGATGACAGAAGGGGATTTTAGGTAGAATAGAGAACACCATTGGTGAGCACAAATGCCTACTGTCACCTACTGTATAGGGTGACTAAGAAGGGATGACACAAAATACTAAATACTTTTTAAGAGAAAGTTCAGCCAAAAATGTAATGCTGCTGTTAATTTGCGCACCCTCAGGCCACCCAAGATGTCAGTTGCTTTTTTTTTCTTTAATAGAACATTAAATAAATCTTTTTGGGAGTCATAAAATCACAGCTTTGTCTAAATGAATAATTTGAACACTAAAACTAGCTTTAATTCTACAACTACTGGAATAGTCATAGTTCACATTAGACTGATTTTTAGACTGATACTAGAATAAGTTTTGCCATATATAATATTTACATATGACGCTTCTGTTGAGGTTTTAGAATGAATTTTACAATGTTTGTTGTTAAATTGTATGATATTTAGATGAATAAGAGCTTCTGGCCCTGAAGGCAAACAGGAGGGCTAAGATTTTTCTTTGCCGTAAAAGTATTGTTTTTGAAAGTCTAAATGCTAAGACATGTGGATATAAACACTGTGAATTTTGGAAATTGATACCTCTAAAAATGTCAATACTTAAGTTTTTGATTTAATAAGACTCTAAATCACTGGCAGCCTCCACTGGAATTGAGTGTAAATGAATCTTTTATGTTAGGGGTAATGTAATGATAAAAATCAGGATACAAAATTAAAATGTTACTATTGAAAATGTATTAGTTCACAGGCAACCACAGAGCCTGCTATTGTTGCTAATTACTTGTGCTAATTCAAAATAGGTTAATGCTTTTAGCCTCTTTGTGAAATTAAATTGAATGATATTGATTAATACCTGATAAAAACATCACCGATATGCATTTCAATGCACAACAACAAAAAAAAAATTCTGAAAATGTATGTGTGGCGAGTGAGGCGGGGCTGAGAGCTGTGATGGTGTATGAGGCGGGTGGCATGAGTGAGTGAGATAATCAGAGACACCTGGACGCATCACCTGCCTCGGGTCTCACGGAGAGGAGCCCTGGAAGCTAATAGGAGGAGAGACGCCAGTACTAAACGAGAGAGGACTGGACATATTATGTTTTACTTTTACTTTCAACTGCTGTCTGTTTGTTTGTTTGTTTTTTCATTAAAACTTATTAAAAGTTTGTCATTTTCCCGCCTCCTTCATTTCAGTATTAAAAAAGTAGCCTATGCTGAAATAATATGCCATTTGTAATGCATACAGACAATTTAACCCTTATCATCAAGGTAGAAATTCTCTTTATGTTGTCATTTTGATAAAATAGCAATGTTAGAATAAATTACACTAACTATTAAGAAAAGCAAGGGTATTTAACTATTTTGTGTTGAGTTATTCCTTTAATAATTGAGAGGTCGGTTGCATAAAATGTCTTTGGAAATAGTTTGACAAACTAGCGTATTCATATTTTTTGGATTCAAATTACTAACTTAAATAAACCAAACTGCAACCATTACTAAGAAATATTTAAAATATTAAAAAAACGGACTAACTTAGTCTTATAAAACCAGTCTAAAAGAAATGGGATATTATCATGGAATCATCACAATGACCATAAAATCAGAGATTTTGCATAATGTTGAGATAACAAACATGGTGTGAATGCCATATAAACATTGTGGAAAGGAATGTGTAATACCGTATTACACTGATGAAAGATTATCTTACTGTTATAAAACATCTCAACAGCGGTGTATATACTGTGAAAACACATTAATTATTGTAATAAAATATAGTTAAATATTATTTTGTTTCTTGTTTTTTTAATCCATTAGTGGAAGGGAGAAATTGAAGAGTTCTGTCCTAATACCAAAATCCTTTTGGTTGGATGCAAGTCAGACCTGCGTGCAGACCTGGCAACATTTGTACAGCTGTCCAATGACATTCCTTCATCATACGACCAGGTGGGTTTTTTCCATGAAATATTAATGTAATTGTAACAGGGAATAAAACAGATTCAATATTAGTTAAATAGGCTTTTGTTGCAGATTTAAAAAAAAAAAAAAAAACTATACTTAAAATCAGCTAAAACAACACAATTCTTGAGATTTTTGGGAGACAGCTAACTTGTTTTCTGTTCAATCCACTTACAGTTGTAAAAACTATTATAAGATGAAGGCATTTTTTTTACTATAGGTAGACTCACACAGAATCTGTGCCCACACAAATCTGCAGATTTTAGAACCCATCAAGTCTTATTTAAATGTGAGTCATATATATTTACTTAGTTTTTACACTTTATTTCAGTATTATTATTGCATAAAATGCTAATGTTTAGATGATTTCTGTACAATACAATTTGTAAAATAATATTTAGTTGATGTATTATATGAGAAAGTTGTAGCTTAGTTTAACAAAGAAGTGGTTCTAAATGGATTTACATTAAAACTTTAAATAAACGTTATGTTTTCAGCTTCTATACTCTCAAAATCATTCTGCAGATTATTATTATTGATTTGTTTTACTGAATTCTGTCCAAGTTCTGTCTGGCAGAAGCTACAATAACATGTAATACTATATCCATGTATTTTATGTATTTAAATTCAAATTCTAATACTGATGCAGACACACAGATATGTTTGTGCATTAGACATTCCTTTTAAAAATAAACAATATTTTTAAATGCATATTTTCCTAACATGCAGCGATGAGCCCTGAATTAGATGACAGGAAATCAAGTATGCACCAGTCCATTAGCTAACAACATTAAGTCAATTTTTGGCTCCGTGTGTCTCGTAGGGTTCAAACATGGCCAAGCTGATCTCGGCCCCTTACATCGAGTGCTCGGCACAGCAGTCCGAGAACAGCGTGAGAGACATTTTTCACATAGCCACACTGGCCTGCGTCAGTAAAAATAACAAGAGCGTGAAGCGCATCAAGTCCAGCAGAGCCACCAAGAGGACCTCGCGTGTATCCAGCAGGCCAGAGCTGGACTCGCATCTACACAAGACCAAGGCCAAAACCTGCACAGTCATGTGATTTCAAAAGCCATCCCATCTGCATGCATTTCTTCTAATATCAGGATTCTTTCTAAAAGTCCACCGGGGAATTAATGGGCGATGAACCGAAGGGAGATATTTTGCACTTTGCTAGTATTCTCGATACGTACTGAACTGAGTCAGCGACATGTATTAATAATGATGAAGCAGTCTATTTAAAAGCACCTCAGAGCATTTTTTTAGCCATCTTTGAAAACCTAAAGCAGGGAAAACCTCTGTGTGTTACTGTGTACTTTGTAGAAAGCCTCCAAAGATGATGGTCCTGGGGATTTTGCAGCGTAACCCAGTTTGTGGACGTAATTAACTCGGATTAACTTGCTAACCTCAGACCTGTCCTGCACCAAAAACAAAAATGCTCTCAATTAATGTCACAGATATACATTGTTGGTTGTTTTTTCTTTGTGAGGGATTAATATGAGGCAATAAACGAAGCATAACTGTCGAAAACTCATGTCATTGTATGCAAACACACCACTTATTGTAAAATCCTCTAAGATTGAGGATTTTTAAATGGTTCTTACTTACTTACAGGGCTATTTCCAAGTCACTTTTCAATTTTTCAAACAAATGTTCAGACAAAAAAAGGTCAATTTACATGTTTACATACATATTCATGCTTTATCACATTATATCAGATGCTTTTTGTTATTATAGTATTGTTAGTATAGTATAGTATAGTATAGAGTAGTATAGTATAGTGTTGTATAGTATAGTACTCTAAGAAAAAATATTTAATGGCAAGTTTGTACACGTAAACAAGGTAAGCCAGTAAGTTGAATTACTGACATTTACTCTCTTCTCTCTTAAATATAATTTACTTAAATGTTAAATTTCATCTTTCATGGTAAATTTACATTTATTTTAATTCCCTGCATTGCTCATTGTTGAATAGCTCATCTCAGTGGAGTTTGTTTTCTCCCTCTGCTTAATAAAGAGAAGAGGTTAAGAAAATGACAGATCACAGCTACAGGCACATTTCATTTTATGCAACAGCGAAAAGCTTTATTTTATTTTATATAAATAGTTAAAAATAATAATTAATATCATAATAATTCGTAAGATAGATTATTAAATTGCATCTTCAATCCCATTTTCTAAAGCAGTTTCAAGCACTTCATCCAAAATATAAGCACTTTTAAAATCTTGAAAATCGTAGATTAAAATTTGAGCATTCTCAAGGATTTTAAAACAGTGTTTTAAAACATTTGAGTTGGCAGTTATTCACTGATTTGATGTGGCCAACAGTCTTCAAATGTTTTGTTTCAAGAAACTCAGGAGGTTTTGTCCAGAAAATGCAACTGGTTGTTATAGTTTCTTACACATTTCATTCATAGTCCCAATTACTAATCTCAAAATGCCATTTAAAGCTGAATAAAGAAGACTTGAATCATTAACATGCAAACTAAGACAGTAATTAGAGATAAATAGCAGGACAAAGAGAAATTGACTGATTTATTATGCCTATGCTATGTGTGTGTGTGTGTGTGTGTGTGTGTGTGTGTGTTTGTGAGAGATTGTTTAAAAAAAAGCAGGAGACTCAAGAGCATGTGCTTTCAATATATAATAAAATGTCATTTCTACACACTTATGGCAAGCCGTTTTAACATTTATTTAAAATAGTATTTTTATGCTGCAAGTATTTGGATACTACAAACTACTATCTTTTCTATTTATTGACCAAACTATTCATTTGGTAGTTCACTGTAAAACCCAATAAGTTAAGGCAACTCAAATTAAATAGATATACTTTGAATTTATTACAGGGCATTTGTTCATCATTCGATTCTAAAAGACATTTATTGGATACCAGTGCTTATTAACTAGACACTCACCTACGCTACCTATTACCTAGATAGTAATACACTCTTTCATTAGAAACTAGCACTTATTGATTATCGATACTTTAATAATAGTAATTAAATTAATAGTGCTTATTGATTAGTTATATTTATTCTGTAGCTATTTATTCTCTAGATACTATTCAGTGTCAAATGTTGTTTTACTTTTATTTATTTTGCTAATAAGATTTTGATTTAACCATTACTATTTGGCTGTAATCTTACAGTGATTAGTTATAACAAAATACAAGTTTAAAAAAGTAGTAATAGTTGACATGTTCAGATGCAAAAGCCTGTAAGTGCCATCTGATTTTTTTTTTTTTTTGAATGAGCATTTTTCTCAATCTCTTATGTTTATGTTCAGTTATTTGATTTTAAAGTGGACCAAAAAGAACCTATTATTTGCCATAAAATTTAACAAAAATTTAAACCAATACAGGAGTAAGAAAATAAATGCTCATTTCAGAAGAAAATTTCAGATAAAAATTTTTCATCTAAAATTTTCAACTGCAAAATAGGCCAGTGTCTAAAAAAATAGTATTTTTTGTATGGCATAGTTATTTAAATATAAACTACACCAGAGGAGTTATACACTAATACTGTAGTTATGTGCTATTTCTAACGCTTAAACACTACCATCTGCTGGATGTAACTGGAAACACAAGCAACTTTGGCAAAAAGAAAGTACTACTGTATATATAAATTACGTCTGCTGAAATTGTCCACTTTTTAAAGAAAAATATTAAAATGAACCCTCAAACATATCCAGATGGAGTGCAGATTAAAGAGTCAAAAGGCAAATCATTTACAAAATCAAATGTTTCAATGAAGGAGGAAAGCAACATTTTGGATTGGATTGAAAAAACACATTCATTCTATATTTTTATGCCATTAAATGAATGTCCTTTTTAGACATGCACTGCTTAAGTCTAAACCAGTTATTGTATTGGCTGCTGATAAACATGTAAAAAAGAAAACCGACAAGTATGTGAAAAAGCCAGACTCTTATTCATTGCACTGACAATTCTCACCCACTTGAGGGCATCAGTGGAGTTTTATTACATTGAAGCTTAAGCGAGAGCTATGAAATGTGTTCAGTTGATATGAGAATTATTCTTACTTGCAAGGACACTTGTTATCATCAGAAATTAGTAATGCAAGCTCTAAAAAAATACATAAAATTACAAAAATGTATCTGCATATACAAGAAAATAAACTGATATTATTTGTAAAAGAACTTAAAAGCCCTAATGCACTGTAAAAAAGTTGACTCAAGTCAAACAGTAACTTGCTGCAGAGCTGACTCAACTTTCAACCTAAATACTGCACTTGACTCAATTTAAGTAAACTCAAAAATGTCCTGAAGCTGAAGTCAACTTCTTTTTCACAGTGTACTTAAAGGGACAGTTCACCCAAAAATAAAAATGTACTTACTATTTACAAGTGGTTGTAAACCTTTGAGTTTCTTTTGTAGAACATAAAATAGGATACTTTGATGAAAGCTGAAAACCTGTCACCATTGACTTCCATAGTAGGAAAAACAAAAACGATGGAAGTCAATGGTTACAGGTTTCCTACATTCTTCTAAATATCTTCTTTTGTGCTCCAACAGAAAAATTAAACTTCCAAAGGTTTAGAGCAAGTAATATCTAGTTCACACTACAGATCGTCGACGATCGGGCTATGATGGGGTGAAAATCTGCAAGGTAAAAATGATCAGGATTGAGCCCAAATGCAGTCATGCAGTCTGAACGGCACAGCAAACAGCAATCTGCTAATGTTTGAAGTTATGTAGCGGGAACTAGGCTTAAGTGATGAGTAAACCATGAAATTTTTTTTGTGGGTGGGGGGTGAGGGTGAACTGTCCCTTTAACAATAATTGTACATCTTTAGTTCATAAGTATTTCTGGTGGTAAAATAAGTCTGTTTGTTATAAATAAAAAATACCTAAAAAAGGCAACAGCAAGGCCATGTATTTGTGTAAGTGCTACGTGTTCACAGGGCTAAAAACATAAAGTAGAAGATTAAAGAAGTGCACAGTTACTGATACAGACGCATTTGCTTTGACAGATGCTTCTTACTCTTTTTATCTGTCAATAAACTGCAGGTCAATCGATGTTGCAGGAACCAGCAGAGTTCGTGTGATCGGCTTCACAGTCTTTCCTGAAGGGTCTGGACGCACTTCATAGCGTTTGATTAACTGCAAATTAAAAAAAGAAAGTTAGTGGTATGCAATATTGACGAACAATGTCATCTTATTACTATTATTATTAATTATCAATAATGAAACAATAATGACTTTTTGCTGAGTATGCTGGTTTAGGTTTGGTTCATGAATAAATACAGAGTGGGCCATTTGTATGGATAAAACTTAATAAAATGGGAATGGTTGGTGATATTAACGTCCTGTTTGTGGCACATTAGTATATGTGAGGGGGCTTATTGTAAATAACTAATAACGTTACGTTTAAAACCAAGCACACCATTGTTTTTCTTGTGAAATTCCCAATAGGTTTTTTAAGGTGTATCCATATAAATGGCCCACCCTGTAGATGTGCATTAATATAAAACTAGATTATTGAATCTTTGGGTAAAATGTTTAGGAGAAAACCAGAATCGGGAAGAAAAAAATCAGGTGTTGCTCTGAGACACAATGTAATTCTGCTCTGTCATTGTTTGATAACTCACACTAAGTATTAACCTATGGTTTGAAGAATTCTAGTTCAAAATTAATAGCAGATTTGTGATCAAGCTAAACACTTCTGTTTGTGTGAAACAACTTTTAAGTTTCTTTTTTTAAACATACAGGGATTTAGCTTTCATTTCTTAAATTCATCTGCATTCAAATAGACTTCAGCACTCACTGAATGGTTTGGGTTTTCAGTTTTTACCAAATAAATTAATAAATGATGTTAACTGGTACAAGCTGGGAATGATATGCAGGCAGGTCTCACAGTCATTCTTTTAATCAGTAGATCATTACCTATATTTAACAGTAACAGTTCATGTTTGTATTGTGTATTTTGCATGTTCCACGACCCCAAAATTGCACTTTATTTTCAACTTTGTATTATTCTGTACACTTTTCAGTAAAACTCTTTACATTTAAATAAAAAAAAATATTTAAGGCTGCTATTTAAAATCCTAATTCATGCAATACTGAAAATTCAAGCATTTATTCATCCTCTACAAAATAAAATTGTTCGGAAACATGTTGAAAACCGGTAACCATTGACTTTCATAGTATTTTCTTTTCATACTATGGAAGTCAGTGTTAATGGTTTCTAACACTCTTCAAAACAATTTTTTAGACATATAAACAGGAAAAAAGATACCCTTAAGGGTTTGTGACCACTTGAGGGAGAGTAAATAGTGAGTGAATGTAAATTTTTAGTGAACTATCCCTTTCATATGTAAACCTTACAGTATATTCTTTCAATTTACTATGTTAAGTAAAGTGGAATGAACTTATGTAGTAAATTAAAAAAAGATCAATTTAAAAGTCAGTATAAAATTAAATTTATGAAGTCAATAAAAAAAAAAGAAGTAGCTTCATGATCAACAAAAAAATGCTGGTGGCTTGGCAAAACTAATTCTGATCTAAAAACACTGATCACCAACATTTAAACGTTTTTATGACATTTGTTATAACATTAATCTTGGTTACTAATTGACAAGCAAATTATCTTTGTAACAGCAGAGAAGTCTGGGCTAAAGGTGAAGGACTGCAGATTTGTCAAAGATCCAAAACTAACACACTAATATGATGAGCTGATCTGGGTCAAGACAATGATTTACTGACACCGAGGGGCGGAAAAATTTAGTTCACTTCAGATGTCAGTCAGATTCTTAACTCAGATTTGAATGTGCCCTTCTTCTATCTATTTGTAATCAAAGACTTGCCATTAGTTTCAATCATCTATATGGGACCACAAAGTACAATGTGTGCTTTGTTTTTAATGAATGGCAGGAGACAATTTCGTCATGAGAACAGTACGAGAACACTGTGTTCATCTTTGAAACACCTCTAAGACAAATCTTTCATTTATCCAAGAACAGACTGTCATGTTTCTTTCAACGGAGCAGCATCAAATTCTTCAGAAAAAGCTCACCAAGCTTACAATAAATTTCATATTTGAAATCACCACTGACGGGCGACGCAGTGGCACAGTAGGTAGTGCTGTCACCTCACAGCAAGAAGGTCGCTGGGTCGCTGGTTCGAACCTCGGCTCAGTTGGCGTTTTGTGTGGAGTTTGCATGTTCTTCCTGCATTTGCCTGGGTTTCCGGGTGCTTTGGTTTCCCCCACAGTCCAAAGACATGCGGTACAGGTGAATTAGGTAGGATAAATTGTCCGTAGTGTGTGTGTGTGTGTGTGGATGTTTCCCAGAAATGGGTTGCAGCTGGAAGGGCATCCGCTGTGTAAAAACGTGCTGGATAAGTTGGCGGTTCATTCTGCGGTGGCAACCCCAGATTAATAAAGGGACTAAGCCGACAAGAAAATGAATGAATGAAATCACCAATGACATCTGACTCATAACTGTTGTTACTTGCACTCAAGCAGTGCTCAAAATCAAATCAAATGTGCAAAGTCGGTGCTATAGCACAACGTTAATGTAATTAAACACATACAGTTGAAGTCAGAATTATTAGCTCCCTTTTAATTATTTTTTCTTTTATGAATATTTTCCAAATGATGTTTAACAGAGCAAGGAAATTGTCACAGTTTTTTAATTTTTTAAAAAACCATGTAAGGTCAAAATTATTAGCCCCTTTTTTTGATAGTCTACAGAACAAATCATTGTTGTACAATAACTTGCCTAATTACCCTAAACTGCCTAGTTAACCTAATTAACCTAGTTAAGCCTTGGAAGCTGTATAGAAGTGCCTTGAAAAATATCTAGTAAAATATTATTTACTGTCATCATGGCAAAGATAAAATAAATCAGTTATTAGAAATGAGTTATTAAAACTGTTGTGTTTAGGAATGTGTTAAAAAAATCTGCTTTCCGTTAAACAGAAATTGGGGTAAGAAATAAACAGGGGGACTAATAATTCAGGGTTTAAATAATTCTGACCTCAACTGTATATTAATAAATGATACATTTTAATACAACAATTATTGGGTTGCTAAGTAAAATATCAATTGTTTAAATCAGGGCTGCTCAATCCTGTTCCTGGAGATCTACATTCCTGCAAAACACAGCTCTCACCCTGATCAAACACACCTGAACCAATAAATTAGGACCTGAACAGCACTTGATAATTACAGGCAGGTGTGTTTGAAATGGGTAGCAACTGAAATCTACTGGAAGGTAGATCTCCAGAAACAGGGTTGAGCACCCCTGGTTTAAATCATCGTCAATGCACCGTGATGCAACAAAACATTGAATTGAACCGAATCAATAAAGTAAAAAAGGATTAATGGAGTGTTTTCTAGCAAGTTCATAAAAAAAAAAAAACCTTAGTATTGCCAGCTGTGAAAATATAGTACATAAAACGCCGCCTCCCCATCGCAGCAAGTTTTTTGTTGTTGTTTGTTTTTCAATTTCCCCTTGCAATCCCAAAAATAGAGAAAACAGTAGCTGCCATTTTAAGGTTAGTGGAAATTAGTGTTTATTTAGTCAACAAAAATAAAGATGAAAAATGTTTCTTGTCTGTGGCTTGAAATGAACAGAAACTTGACTGGTCTGTTATGCCAGTGACTGAAATCTATGAATGCACACGCTCTGAACTGCTCGTCTAATAAGTGAACAGCACAAATGAATAATTTATGTTGGTTAGTTTTTATCTTTTTAGTCTCTTCCTTTTTCATCAATTGCTGATGCAAGCATCTAATAGTATCCACGTCTTCCCGTCTTTACTTTAGTCTTAGAAAAAAAGGTAGTAAGCGAACATTTTTGGCTCTTAATTTCATTGATGAAATTAAAACTGATGGAAAACTATCAATAATTGATGTGCATTCTAAAGGGGAATTGAAGATCAGAGTTTATTTTTATGGCCATTCGTTCTATTCAAGCTATTCAATCAGAGCAAACGCATAAAGTGAGCAGTTATGAAACTATTGAAACTATGAAACTATGACAGTTATGAGTGTTGTTTACCCGGGACAAGAGAAGGTACATCTCCAGTTCAGCCACTCTGCGGCCCAGACAAGCACGGATGCCGAAACCAAACGGCACGGACCCAAAGGGATGCTGGCTTAACTGTTTCTGCTCTCGGATCCAGCGCTGTGGGAGGAAGGCAAAAGGATCGGGGAACACCGTCTCATCGTAGGACACCGCAAAGTGGCAGAGGTGGAACAGAGTCTGGAAAACACGGAGCAGACTCATTTATGGCTGTAATGTTTAATCCATGTTATGCTTTGTCAGTTTGCAGTTCAGCTTACGTTTTTAGGGAAGAGGTGATCACCAACCACTATTTCATTTTCTGCAACAACACGAGCATTTCCAGGAACTACTGGATATAATCTGAGGACAACGTCTGGAGAGTTAATTTACAACACTTTTTAACACAACATATGTATTTTCTGCTACTGCACCCCCACAGATCATATATTAATGTTGAAATTTGATACAACCATTTATTTGAAGTCTCATGTTAACCCATAATGAGCTGAAGGTCTGCTATAATGATGCTCTCTGATCTTGATTATAACTGTTTGTTCAAATTTTAGCTGATTTTCATCATGTATAATATTGTTTAATATAATTTTAGGCTTTATTTTGATTTCAAGGTTTAAAAATGAAACACAATCCAAATGTTTACTGCTTCTCTGGCTTTTTGACTACATTCAGAAAGTGACTACATTAAAAAAACTGCAAAATATACGTTTGTAAAGTTTTTTTTAAGATTAAATGAAGCGTGCAAACATATTTCCCCATGCTTTTGCAGATTGTAAATTAAAGGATACATTTTAAACACCTCTTTTTGCCATTAAACTGATTTTTATTTTAATATAAGCATAAAAGCTGACAAACATGGATTTCTTTCTTCTTATTTTTTAAATACAAATTTCCATGGCTCTTAGTACACAAGTTGATGCACATTACTACATTTTTATTCCCAATCTCAGCCAATTTTGATTTTCCACAGCCAGCACAAGCCAGAGCCCTAGGTTTCAGAGATAGGCTGGACTGACCTCCCCAGATCCCAGACCTGGATTTTAAAGCATTTTAGAGCTTAATTTTACTATTTAACAATGATGAGTATTATGCATTTTGTACCATGATGACAACAACTAATAAGCTATTAGGCATGGACCAGTATACGATTATGAGGATATGATAATCTTGGATAAAACTGTTCGCTGTTTTAATGGTATGGTAATGACTGCTCTAAAATATATATTTTTAAATGTCTGAGTAAAAAACTAAAACTTTTGAACACAATATATTGTATTTTTTTTTTTATATTTTGGAACAGTTAACATGTCAGGCTATTTAATTAAAACATATCATTGACTTCTTCATTACTTTTAAAAACATAGATTTCTTCACAATTTAAAGCAGCGTCTTTGAATTTCTTTTCTGCTGGAGACACTGTTGTCCTAAAATACAAAAACAAAACCTTCATAAAAAATTTTGCACATACCGTAGGAACGATATAGCAGAACATTTTGGCAGATTTAAAAACCTTGACTTTTCCAAACCGCAGTATACCTTGAAAACGGTAATCGTCCCATGCCTAATTTAGTGTAATAATGTTTTAAATAACAAAACATTTGGTCTGGCATATTTAGAACAAGAATCATTTAATGAAAATACTAAAATACTAATTAATTGTCTTTTCAAATTTTTATACTTCACCACTCACCTTCATCCAGGTTTTACCCATTTTCTGATAATGTATTCTTTTCTATAATATATCATTTACAACAACATGTTTTTGACCTAGGTACGTTATACTGGACTGTTTTTCAATTTCCTAGCATTTATTGTGCTATAAAAATCCCTTTTGTAAGTGACATTTTTTAGACACTTTTAAACTCAGCATCATTAAAATAGACAATAGTGTTTGCTTTGTTCATCAGCTCTTTTCATTGAGGATGCAAGGCTGTATACCTAATACGTTTCTAAAGGTGTAATGTAGAGATATGTATATGCTTTACCGAAGTGTCTCTCTAACGATGGCCTTCAACAGTGGCATCCTGGTAATGTCATCACTGCTGGGCGTCTTGTCACCCGGACAGACGCTGACCACCTCCTCATGCAGCTTCTGCTGAATCTCCGGCTCTCGTGCCAAATGATACAGAGCCCAAGAAATAGTGTTTGAAGTCTACATTGTGGACATAAAAAACGCTAAAGCTCAGATACACTTATTTATTTATGTTAGTTTAATATCAAATGCTACAAATGGTGTCATCCTTTATGCCGTTTCTGTAAACACAATAAAAACATTATCAATGCTTCGCCTTTGTAAAGAGTGAAGATACTTACAGTGTCGACACCAGCCAGCAGAAGCTCAGTAATGCTTCCCAAAACCTCCGTGAAGGACATCTGTTCACTAATCAGCAGGTGTGTGAGATACTCGCCCTCCACTGGACTACCAGTTTTCACCTTTTCCTGAATCTCGGTCATCTTCTGTTGCACCAGTTCATCCGCTGTGTGAAAAACAGCATATTTAAGCATGGTGTTTTGGAAAAAAAAATATTTTATGCCCACAATGGCTGCATTTGTTTTATTAAAATGACAATGAAAACTTTATTATTGAGAAGTATGATAACAAATTTGCTGTTTATATGTGTGTGCTAAAATTTTAATTTATATTTTTTTATTATTCTATTTTAATATTTTTAGATAATTTATACCTTTAAGGTTTTAGTATCATTACTCTAGTCTTCAGTGTCACATGATTTGCTGCTCGGTAAAGATGTCTTATTATTCCCAATGTTGGAATCAGTTGTGCTGCTTAATATTTTTGAGGAATATATATAAAATTGTTATTTATATTTTTTTCAAAATTCTGTAAAAAAACACATAGAAAATAAAGTTTATATAAAAATGTCTAAAATTTACTTGAAATCTTCTTTGACATTTCAAATATCTTATATTTATAAATAGATCAAATTAATATATGATCAGTATTATACTGATTAGACATTAGTATTAGAAATCCTTGCTATATAAGAGTGTAATTAAAATCTTATTAAGCCTAAACGTTTCAAACCAGTGGATATACAAATATTTTTAATAATAATAGTTATAAAAGTAGTCATTTATTATTATATTTTATTCATGACAGTAATAAAAAAGACTCACCAACTTTGAACAAATGGTCCCAAACAGCCACAAAATGCTTCCAAAAAGGCATATAGGGCCAGAGAAATTTAGGAAAAAGGATCACAATGGGAGAAAGACGAAACATTTCCCCCACAGAGAAGATAAACTTCTGCGTTTCTTCGGGAATCTCGTCATTCAGACACCCCATTCGAGTTTCAAACAACACTGAGGATATTCCTTATAAAGAAAAGGGAAAAAATAAATTAAATGTGCAGTGTGATTTACAATATGGTAAATATATATGTATGTATATGTGTGTGTGTATGTATATATATTGTTATATTTTAGGTGGGAGGCTATAACAAGCTGTCTGTATAAACAGCACCACACTGTCTCTCATTCAAACACATACACAAACATAGACAGCACAAAAGAAACACACACACACACACACACTTAAGCCTTCGCAACAGGGAGAGCTCACGCTGAGCGGAGCAGAAAAACAAAAAAAAAAAAAGCACTTTTTCAACGGTCCCTTACTGAGAGCTCCTCTCAGAGCGAACTCTCCCGGCCAAACACAAATGAGGGCTTAAGCGGAGCAGTGCTCGTAATGTCGAGCGAGCGAGCTAAAAAAGAAAGACAGATGTGAAACATAATCAGCTTTGTCTTTTTGAAGAAAACACACTTTAGATCTTTTTAGGGTAAGAGGTTTTTTTTTTATTTATTGCCATCTATAACTGAATGTGTGTCAGGAATATCGAAAACAAAACCAACTGAACCGCGCTTCTTTCTGGCACCCCCCTGGATATATAGCGCCCTTAGCATTTGCCTATGGTGCCTATGCCACGGACCGGCCCTGAGTTGGCTGAGTGTTGTAAATACTCGCGCTCACCACCCTCGCGACAGAGCGCATAGGAGGTAAATGACATCAGTACATAATAACCGGTTATGATTATTACTGAACCGATACCGAAGAAACAATTAATTTTGACACCCCTAATATATATATATATATATATATATATATATATATAAAAAAAATTCTAATTATAGTTCTTTTCATTGACTTTAAAGTAAAATAACTGAACATAAATATAGAAGGCTGACGCTGAAAATTTCAGATGGCATTTAGAGGTTTTGCATCTGAACTCTTCATATATATATGAATGAATGATTTTGAGATATTGAGTTATAAGGTTTTTGCATTCCATATAGCTAACAGTATGTGTGTAACATTTGTTTTTTTAAATTAAAATACTTAAAATGTTAACAACTTATCCAATAATGTAAATAAGTTTATGTCATCATGATGATGATTGTCATTTAATAAGAATATGTCAATAACTCAATTTTGTCAAAAATGTCAGATAGAACCTTATAATTCTAAGGTGAATATATATTTGAGGCAATACTAGCATTTGATTGAATCTATATATTCAGGATGTATATAGAATACTTTACAGGTTTTCTTTTGACATTGAACTATGACATAAAGTTAGATACAATCTATGAACTTGTCAAGGCCGATGCTTTGTAGAGGATAACCAGATGCATGTGTTATCTAAAATACGACACTAGCCCTTTGTACTCACTTGATTCACTTGAACCACAGTTTGTAGCAATCATATTTGGATCGTTATATTTCAGATAAATGAGGAAATTTTAGCACTAACACACTTGTTAAACTTAAAAATAAATGTTATACTATATATTAAAAAAGCAAGATAATCACCCTAAGCAAGGATATTACAAACAGCTGAAGTCAGAATTATTACCCTCTCTTTAAATTTTTCTTTCTTTTTTAAATATTTCCCAAATTTTGTTTAACGGAGCAAGGAATTTTTCAGAGTATGTCTGATAATATTTTTTTCTTCTGGAGAAAGTCTTATTTGTTTTATTTTGGCAAGAATAAAAGCAGTTTTCATTTTTAAAAAAATACATTTTAAGGCCATCATAATTACCACCTTTAAGCTATATTTGTTCTGCGTCTACAGAACAAATCATCATTATACAATAACTTGACTAATTACCCTAACCTACCTAGTTAACATAATTAACCTAGTTAAGCCTTTAAATGTCAATTTAAGATGTATAGAAATGCCTTGAAAAATATCTAGTCAAATATTATTTACTGCCATCATGGCAAAGATAAAATAAATCAGTTATTAGAAATGAGTTATTAAAACTATTATGTTTAGAAATTTGTTGAAAAATCTCTCCGTTAAACAGAAAATGGGGGAAAAAATAAACGGGGGGCTAATAATACTGACTTCAACTGTATATACCATATTTTGTCTATTTTATATATCTTAAATTACATTTGAACTTCCTTACAAAGACATCTAGCTGACAAATTGGTAAAACATAGTGCCTTCATTATCTAAAATATGACAATGACCTTATATGCTCTCTCGATTCACTTAAATCAAAAATTCATTAAACTCTGTTAATGGGAATCTCAGGTTCAGTTATCTAGAGCTTGAAATGACCCATTATGTTATACCTTCGAAGGCAAACTTGTACAGCTCTCCAGCCACGTCATACACCATAACATCATTGCCTTTGGTTGTCTTTAGCTTAGCCATCTTCTCAATAAAGTCGCTCACTACACCATTAATAGCATTGGTGTAGTTGGACACATGTTTCGGTTTCAGCATTCGAGGATTCAATATGCTTCTGATGCGCTGCCACTCTGGACCCATTCTGAAACACAACAAAAATACATCACTTTCACACCCTTGGCTGCACTCTTAAAAAACTTTTCTACAAAGGGGTTTTCAGAGACATCCAGAATACAGAATCAAAACAGGGGTAATCATGTGGCAATGCTCTTTGAATAAGGGATTAATAAAGATTTACAAAAAATCATTAGTCCAAGACACTCGAGGCACTTCATCACCCTGATGAAGACATGTTTGCCGAAATGTGAAGGTGCAGCGCATGAGTCTGTTTCTTAGCCATGTTAATAAAGGCTTTTTCACCTACTTTTCAAGTGCCTTGAACAAATTATTTGTTTTTGTATATTTTGTCTACCATATATATATATATATATATATGAGCAATATCACACGAGTAGCAGTGCGATATGGCTGTAGTGCCGAGTGCCTTAGTGCCCCCACCAGTGCTGATATACAGCCATACCGCACTGCTACTCGTGTGATATTGCGTTTATACAACAGTTTGACGGCATAATTGTGTATATAAAAACAAAATCAAACATAGAGAGTCTCAAAAACTATTTTGTATGAGGAACTACAATTTTTACATATTCAAATCATAAGCTGACAGTTAAACAGTTAAGCGTGCATCTTTTAAACTTTAGATCTGTAGGGTCTGCTTTTTGCTGGCTGTATGTGGGCGGAGTAATACACAAAGGGTAAAGAGGCTGTAAGAGTTCTGATATTGCAGAATATCGCACGGCTATCAGCCAATCAGATTCGAGAACCAGACAGAACTGTTGTATAAATATTAAATGTTTACCATTTTCATAATCCACAGAAACTTTTGTTGCATGAAAAGTTTCCATAGATACATGTTACATGTTCTTAATAGAGGTTCTTCAACACTAATAAAGATCCACTTTATTTTTTATGAGTGCAGGATATAAAGGCATTTTGGGATTTTATATTTACATAATCATTAATTATAAGGTATGGCTGATCTGTGGTTGTAGTTGGCCTCTGAACATTCATTCATTAATTTTCCTTTGGCTTAGTCCCTTTATTTATCAGGGGTTGCCACAGCAGATTGAAGCGTCAACTTATCCAACATATGTTTTACACAGTGGATGCCCTTCCAGCTGCAACCCAGTATTGGGAAAAACATCTATACACACTCATACGTTACAGCTCTTTTAGTTTATTCAATTCACCTATAGCACATGTCTTTAGTCTGTGGAGGAAACCGGAGCTCCAAGAGCAAATCCATGTGAACACCAAACTCCACACAGAAATGCCAACTCAAACCAGCAACCTTCTTGCTAACCACTGAGCCACCATGTGGCCCTGGCCTCTGAACACTCAAACAGTTTTATATTTTGGAATTCGTTTGGGTTCACTGCAGTTTTATTGCAATTCTATATTTACTCCCAAGGAAATGTGTTTGTGTCCTAAGATTGACATTCTTAAATAGTGTTTGTATTTGCTGATCAATATACATAACATGTTCAGTCCTCAGTCAAGTTTTTATAATGTACTTAAGATTATCTATCAGTTACATGCTGCTAGCGATTTGATACACGTTCAGACATGTGCACAAAGTTTGTGGCTTTAACTGCAATAGTGTTTATGTACATTTTGTAGAATGACTGAAAGCACATAATGTTGCAATGAAACTTGTGATGAAATGAGTGTTTGCATCCAATATCAAATAGAAAGCATATTAAATGCAAGTAAAGTGTCTGCTTTAGTGATAAACAAAAAAGTCAATTATAAGTGAAGTAATGCTCCAAACTGTAACATTATGTTTCAGTGTAATGGTCCTTACCTTTAAATCTTGATTAAAATATTAAATATCAAAGGTAAAACATATTTGTTTTCATGGCACTCTAGATATTATGAGTGATGTTACGAGATGTTAAAATAATTGTGATAATCATTATTGGCCAAGCTTATTTTTGATATGTGGTGAAAAACTGATTAAAGTTTTGTCAGGTACAATAACGTTTCCATCAATTGGTGTAAATTTGGTGGGCAAACTATAAAGGTTTAAAATGTGCTTATATGTAGTTTGGTGCTGCACTGTGATCCTGAAACAATGTTTGTGTTAATAGTAGTAGTCCCACTTACTCTGTGAGGGGTCCATAGGCGTGATTACGGAGTTTCCGGTAGCCTCTCCAGTGTGGCATATCTGTACGGATGGGATGACGACCCTCCTGCCGCAGAACTTGCTCTATGAGGTCTGCACTGGCCACATTTACAATAACCAATGGCCCATATTTGGACTTCCAAAGCGGCCCATAGATTTTGCTGTGCTCTATCTTAAAAAAAGATTCAGTTTGTGAGTGTAACTGTACAAGACCAAACATAAAAACAGCAAATTAAGTGAAGATACACACTTTAGCAAGTTAATAACTCCATCTCATATTGCAAAGCTTATTACACTATTATTATTATTAATTTTATTAACTAAAACCTTTCATTAAACACATATTATTGAAAGCATCTGAAAATCGAAAGGATACATTTGGCTTATATGTTCTGTTGTCTGCCGTGTGTTTGATATTAACAAATATATTAATAGCCTGTAATAGGAGAATGAATAAAAACAGGTAAATCACACACACACACACACACACACACACACACACACACACACACACACATTAAAGAAAACCACACTGGAGCCTCTACCTTTATGATATCAGCTTGTATGCCAATATCACCTATAATTTTCAACTGTTACCTCAAAATGTAGGGTGAAACAATTCTGTCAGTTAACTTGTTAAACACATTAAGTTATGTTATTAAGTTAAATTATATTATATAAAGTAATAATGACTGCATGTGTTTTCAAGGACTGTAGACGTTTTCAGACAGGGAACTGTCATATTTTGGCAGTGACAGTCTCTTTGAAAGATGCAAACCGCGAATTTATGTTATTTAGAAACAATTAAGCCATTTAAATGTTATTGATATGCAACAATGTGTCAGTACGACAACGAACCTTTACAACGAGCTTTATAAACCTGTACCTGCATCTGATGAGTCGTTTGAAAATACCCTTTTCCAAACAGCCAGTATAAAGATGTCAGAAAGCTGGGACCATCCAAGTCGTCCATGGTTTTCTGTTTATCTCCACCTATTAGTGTACTGGTCGTCCGAGCATTGAGAAACATCGATGTCAGGCATTTTATTCCACTGCAGTCTTGCTTACATAAAAATAGTCCAGTCCTCAGCAATGAGTTGGAAAACATATCTGATCTCGTAGTCCAGCACACTGTGTTGATCAGTCTTGCTACAGCAGTAATGGCAGTCTGTACAAAAAGCGACTCTCACACACGTACTGTGCAGATGAACTTGAGTAAACTCGATTGTTACCGTGAGCAAATACTGCTGTGTTGAGATTCCGTGAAAGCCGCCGGTGTTTACACGCCTCTTCAGTAACCACGGCTTCTGACAGAACACGACCCTTGCTCTTGTAGATTCGTAAGCAGCAATGGAAGAAAATCGCGTTGTTTTATTGTAATGTACTGTGATTTACGGGTATTTACAGTCTGTATGACCATTGTAATATTATTTTGAACCAGGTTTCCAATTCCAAACCTTAACTTAATAGCTATTTTATAGGGACCCTATGATCTCCCATGATGACTGTCAAACTGTACTGTACATCGTGTTCACTTACCCCAAGCCCACCCCTAAACTCAACTCTCAAATAAAACTCACATTTTTACATACACTACTTTGATTTAGAAGCTGTTTTCCTCATCGACCAAAACATAAAAGTCTCCTCAAGCACAACAAATACTGGTATAGCCTTATTGCAGTTGTGGGGACACTTTGGACATATTTAATTGTAGAGTTTAAATAAATGTATAAAATCTATTAGGCTCTAATCCAGAGATGCCCAAACTTGGGCCTGCTGACCAAAGTTGGCCCTTGGTAACTTTTATTTGGCCTGCCATCCCATCTTACAAGAGATTTTTTTAGTGGGAAGTTAGCCTTATTGCTGAGCTACAAAAAACAAACAAATAAATAAATACTGTGAATGATTGTGTATTGATGTTTCCCAGTACTGGGAAAATGAATGAATAAATGTTATAAATAAATCTTTTTAAAAAAATTACACTGTCACTGATGGATAGAAGACAATGCAGAAGACACCAGCAGAGGTGCAGCTGGTCTAGCCATCAGTGTTTTTTTTTTTTTAAATGGATACTAGTGTATCTGGCTTTGATCTCCATTGTGTTAAAATAATGTTTTTATTGTAATAAGTTCAATATAAAATATGGTAAAATCTATTTATTTAGTAACACTTTACAATAAGGTTCATTAGTTAATGCATTTACTAACATGAACTAATCATGAACAACACTTGTACAGCATTTATTAATCATAATTGAACATTTACTAATGCATTATTAACATTCAAGTCCATGCTTGTTAACATTAGTTAATGCACCATGAGTTAACATGAACTAACAATGAACAACTGTATTTTCATTAACTAACATTTATTAACGTGAATAAATACTGTAGTAAATGTATTGTTCATTGTTTGTTCATGTTAGTAAATGCATTACTTAACATTAACTAATAAACCTTATTGTAAAGTGTGACCATTTATTTGAATAATATGAAATAAATTAAGAAATGACCCATGTCAACAAGTGAAATAAACATTGTTTACAATGTAATAAACATTGTTACTTATGTAAAATAGCGTATATAACACAATTTTTGCTATTTTTTCGGGGGACAACTTAATTGTTTTATGTTTAATCCACGTAATCGTGTTGGGACAACCTGAGTAAATTGCGTGGAACCTGCCTTTTTTTTTTTTTTTTTTACAGTGCAGTGTATTTACCTTTAGTCCACAGCCCTCAATCAAGTTTGTTTTTTGTCCCGTCATAAGAAATATTTGGGCACCCCTGCTCTAATCAGACATAAATAACGCAGAAGTGATTGCAAAATTTCTGAACCAGATCTATGTTGAAACCTTTAATTAACTAATGATTGCCATTTCACAATGATTCAACGCGGTTTAATCATGCCACTACAGGAAGATGTAATGAGAATTTGCAAATCATAAATCTTCAACAAATGCATGTCGCAAAACAAATCTTTATTGATCTACACACAATTTGAATGATCAAACACCTCTGACAGAACTATCAGTCAACCCTGCTATAATGCACACAATGGCACTTCATAATTTGCCATTAGTGCTCAAGAAGGGCTGGATGAAGACATAATTTAAGAGTGAGATTGTTGCGTTTTGGCCTTCCAGAGGCAGACAGTAAGACATACACAACATGTAGGCTTTTACCTCTAAATATAGATTAAATTCTAACAATGCAGGAATTAAAAAAAAGGTAACTTCAAACCAAGAGAATGGGATGGGATGGATAGTAAAACACCTTATTTACAAGGCACAGTTTGTTATGAACAAATGTCTCTGAATCATAAGAGAGACAGATTCAAGTATTGCAGGTTGGGTAATGTGAAAATAAAATTAAGTTTGACACCTTCTTGTATTGGTGCTCATTAAGACTACTTTTATTATTCTGCACACACTTGTGCTTGAGTATGTTGAACCTGAAATATATGTATGTAAGCCGTCTGAAATTTACTTCTAAAATAAGTATTTTCATCAGGATCCTGTGTTTAGGTTCAGTAATTTCACTTTTATGGCAAATAAGTTTTTTCATGGTCTATAAACTGAAATAACTCAACATAAACAAAGGAGACTGAGAACAATGCTCATTTTTTGTGGAAAGTTCAGATGGCACTCAAGAGGTTTTTACATCTGAACTGTTCATATATTGAAGATGACCACGGTGGTCTTACTAAACTCAAGTTATCTCAAAAACAGATACATTTCTATAACCTCTGAGAAAGCAACTATAGGACTTTCCTATAAAACTATAACCTAAGTAGCATTCTCAACAAAATAAATACGTCTTCTTAATTTACTAATACAGCAAACTCACCCCCCAGCTTTATGTCTAATGACTTGTGCCGATGCAAGTACTACTAAGAAACTGGGGGAAAGAAAATGTTTCATAACTGAAAAGTTACTAGGGATCTGGATTCAGGTATCATGTGAAGTTTTTAGCTAGTGAACGGACACTGTGCTTCCTGTAAACCCTATTTCAGCATTAGGTATGTTTGCGGTCAGTCATCATCGCTTTCACTTCCAGACTCACTCAACTGGAGATCATTTTCTGCAACGGATCAAATATCAGCATATTAGACAAACAAAAAAGAACAGTGATCATGCAGAAATAATACCTGGTAGGTTCTGAAACTCACTGAGTGTGTTCATGAAATCGCCGCCACTCTCCTCCACGCGGCTTTGAGATATGCTGAGGGCAGATGAGCTCTGAGGAGGAGCTGGGGGTGGATTTTGTGGAGGACGACCCTCATCCTCGGAGTCACTGCTGCTGGAGCTGTCGCCGCTGCTGGATGAGGAGGAACTGTGGGAATCTGATGAGCTGTCGCCGCTGCTCATCTGATCCATGACACGCGCCTCGGCCATGAGCTCTGCACAAACACATCATAACAAGGAGTTTTCCCTGAACAACTCATTTACACCAGGGTTTCCCAAACTTTTCTGCCCGTGACCCCTAAAATAACAATGCCAGTGACTCGTGACCCCTGTTCAGTTGTGGCCTGTATTTATTTTTAATGTGTTTGATTGTCAGAAAGATGTCAGAAAGTTTAACCTGGTGCTATAAAATCATCTGCTGCAGCTGACACTATTGCCATGTTGTTAATCTAAAATAAACACACCAGTCCTATTAAAAAATAATTTAAAGGCTGATGGCTTACGTGTAAAATATGGTAATTCTAAAAGTTTATTTAAATTTATTTGACTTTTGGAAATCATCAAGCGTCCCCTTCATTGTCCTGCGACCCTCCAGGGGGTCCGACCCCCACTTTTGGAAACTTTTCCCCACTTTAAATCATCCATCCATCCATCCATCCATCCATCCATTCATCTATCTACATCCATTCATCATCTATCTATTCAACCATCCATCCATCCATCCATTCATCATCTATCTATTCATCCATCCATCAAACTTTTTTTTTTTTTTTTTTTTTTTTTTTTAGAGAAAATGAGTATAAAAAATGCACTTTTATGATTTATTAATTTTTTTTTTTTATGGTTGTCTCCTTCAATATTTCAAGACCAGGAAAAAATATAAAGTTGTGTTATAACCTTGTAATACCTCTACAGCAACATTAAGAACTGTACTTACTAGGTTCAGATGGTTTTGAGGGACAAAATTGAAAAAGATTTAATAATCCAGGACTATTACACTAAATCGATCACAACCATCATAATTATTGTTAAATGAGGAAACACTTTAACTGTCATTTCATTGTATTATGTTTATATCTCCACAATTTGCATTAGATTTCTTTTAGAATAACTAAATCACAGTCATTTGAGACCACAGGCTTGCAGTATAATCAGGGTTTCTTCCAATCATTCCATATCCGTTTCCAAAAAAAAAAAAAAAAAAAAACGGAAAACGGATGTTTTTTGGTTTTTCTTTTGCTCACAAAAACCTACATTTTGGCTGGATTTTCATTTTTTATTTTAGGGGAGGAAAACGGATCAATGACTTTAAAATTCATTAAACACATGTAAGCAGTGCTGAAAGCCCTTTTTCCTCTGATTGGCTAACCAAGTCTAAGCTCATGACGTCGCCCTCAAAATAATAGTCCTCTGAGGATCTGCACCCAGGCTTTTTATCATTATTATTTATTTTATATATAAACTAAGTTTAAATATCCTAGTATTTAATCAGTTAGCAGGCTTACATTCATTGCGTATGCATAAGTTAAATAAAAACATAAATTAGCAGTATAGTTACACATGTCATTAAAAGAAGGCAATAGTTCGTAGCAAAACGTCTTGCTGCTGTGCGCCTGATGCCGAGTAAAGATAGCCTTTTCTGAGCATAACCTAGTTTGCATTATTGTTTCAGAGCTACTGTAGGCCTAAATAATAATAATAATAATAATAATAATAATAATAGTAGTAGGCTTATAATAAATATTATTGTTTACTTTGTGTTTTTTTATTGTCTAGTTTTTTAAATAATTGTTAGCAGGACCAGAACAAGAACACATTGGGCCCTAGGGCTATAACAAAAGATACCATTAGTTTTTTTTACATTTTTATTTCCTCTTATTTTAAATATATATATATATATATATATATATATATATATATATATATATAGGACTATTGTTTTGAAGACAACGTGATGAGCTCAGATTTCATTCGTCAGATGAAAAAGGGCGTTTCAACATCGCCTACATGTGTATAATGAATTTAAAAGTAGTATCCATTTTCCTACAATAAACCCCAAAAAAAAAAAAAAAAAAAAAAAAGAGCCAAAAGTTTTCCCTTTTTTTCAAAC